AGGTGCCCAAGCAACCCTTCTCTTCCCAGGGTTATTCAGATGATAGACGAGAACAAGGAGCAGCTGAGGAATCTCTTCAGGAACTACAACGTGCTGGACGTGCAGCCTGCCATTACTGCCCGTGCGCCGGACGACCTCTCGGCTCTGCAGGTAGGGGTCCAGCTGGGACTGGAGGAGCTGCTCGCAGAGGGGGTGGTGTGATTCCCATGGTCCTGGTCAGTGCCTGGAGAGTAGATGACCCGTATAACTTGGGGCATGTGGCCACCAGCAGGTGCTGGCTGCATGCCAGGGGTTTCCCCCATGCCTCTGTCTCTCCTAGATGGCAATCATCGTGCTGGCCGTCCTGCTCTTCCTGGCTGCCATGCTCTTCATCCTCATGAACTGGTACTACCGGACAGTGTGAGTAACTCCTGGGCTCTGCCCAGCCTCTGCAATGTCCCCTTAGACCAGGGAGACCTTGTGTGGCTTCTCTTGGCCCTGGAAATGCCAGCAAGCAAAGGAGGGCATCAGCTTCCCAACGCCTCTTCCTCCAAAATGCATGGTTTTAATACTGATGGTATTAGTACATCTCCCATCAAAGCTCCCCGGCCTTATTTAATATTTAATGCACACCCTGTATGAAGTGTTATTGCAAAGCTGTGCGTCCTTCTCCTTTCCAGCATCTTCCTTATTTTCTTCCCCAATTGGTTGTGTTTCTTTCACAGGCACAAAAGGAAATTGAAAGCCATCGTGGCTGGCTCCACTGGTGAGCAGTGTTTGGGGTGTCCCAGCTGCATGGGAGAGCATGGAGGCGGGTCACAGGGAGACATGGGCTGTATATCAGAAGTGATCCTGCCCAGCAAGGTCTGATGGTGGGAGGCTGTTCTCAGCATCAAGCTCTGTGTTACCTGCCACACCCCACCGTGTTTCTCACTGCCTTTCTAGTTCCTCTTTATCCCTCCCTGATAAAGAAGTGTCACCCCATGGTTTGCTGCTAAGCCCACGCACGTGCTGCCCTGTAACTCTCAACCCTGCCTTTTGCAGGGAACAGAGGCTTCATGGACATCATGGACATGCCAAACACCAACAAGTACTCTTTTGATGGGTGAGTGCCACCTCCTGGGGCTGGAGGCTACTCCCAAGAGAGGGAAGCCTGTGTTTTGGAGCCAGGAGGTGGAGACATGATGTCTCTGCTCTGCTCTGCATGGAGCATTACTGATCCTGGGGCACATGCTCGCTCTGAGAGCTTTCTAAGCTAAAAAATATCATTAATTCTCCTGTGACTCCATCTCTGCCAATCCTGGCCAGGTTTGGGCTAAGCAGAGATAATGGGCAGGGTTTGACACATCTTGATCCAGAGCATTCGGATTCATACCTGCACAGGGCAGGAGGAGGCAGCGCAACCTCAGCACCGTGGCTGTGGACGGGGTTAGGGATAACGCCGCTCCTTCCCTGCCCTGAAGGCTGTTCCTCCCCCGGGCAGGGCCAACCCGGTGTGGCTGGACCCCTTCTGCAGGAACATGGAGCTGGCGGCGCAGGCGGAGCACGAGGACGACCTGCCGGAGAACCTGAGCGAGATCACCGACCTCTGGAACAGCCCTGCCCGCACCCACGTGAGACACGGGTGGGACCCCGTGTCCTGTCCCCGCTCCGGCCGCCCCCAGCAGCTCCTGAGCCGCTCCCTCCTCCTGCAGGGCACCTTCGGGAGAGAGCCCTCGGCTGCCAAGCCCGAGGATGACCGCTACCTGCGGGCAGCCATCCAGGAGTACGACAACATTGCCAAGCTGGGGCAGATCATGCGGGAGGGACCCATCAAGGTGAGTGCTGCGGGCAGGCGTCCTGCACCGAGGAGGTTTCTCTCTCACAGCCGCACCTTCCAGGTTCACAGCGCCGGAGGGTGATGTCGCTCCAAAAACCACTGGGATGAGGCCGGTCTCCCTTTGATCAAACCATCTCCCCTGGATAACCCACAGTCTCTCCCCCTCCACCCAGGGCACTCTCCTGAAGGTGGTCCTGGATGATTACATGCGTCTGAAAAAGCTCTTTGCCCAGCGGATGGTGCATAAGGCCACCGCCAGTCAGGGGGACCGCTCCTCGGTCTCGGAGGTAGAGGGTGTGCATGGGTGTGGGGAGATGCTTGCCGTGCCCTCTGGGATGCAGTGTGGTCTTCCTGGCCCCACAGGCTGTGGTCACTCGCTGTGGCCATGCTCCCTGTCACCCAGTGGTGCTCACACTCTCTGCTTGGTCAAAACAAGCCAGATATTGGTTTTCCACTGGTTCCCACTGCTGTTTTTAAACTGGTTTTCCAGACTGCTGGTTCCCCACAGTGACTCCCTGTGTTTCCTGTGATCAGCACACAGCTGATCTCCCTTGGAGAGGATATCCCTCTTTGCAGATTGGGCTCTCTCCATCAACTCCCATTTCTGCCAAGGCTAGCCAAAGCTTTGGGGGATCATCTTCCCTTCCTTCTGCTTCTCTGGTTTTTGCCTCAAAAAGAAAGGTTTTTGAGGCAAAACTGTTGGCATGCAGAGTGTTGGTGCAGAAGGGCTGGTCTGGGGAGAAGAAACTCCTCTTGTGGCCTTCTACCCTTCATGAGGGTGCAAAACGAGGGGCAAAGAGAGCAGAGAAGAGCAGCGGGAGGAGAGATGCCTGTCAGCCCTTCTGCCCTCCATCTATCCATTCCCTTATTCCCCTTCAGCCCCATCCAGCCTTCCTTCATCTTTCCCTGTCTGCCTCCCGCCCCTCCACCCTCATACAAATTCTAACCCAAATTCCAACCCGGGTCCAAATTCCTCCTTGGCCACTCTGAGGACAGCTGCAGGACACACCACCCACCTGGCAGCCAGTGTCTAAGCCGGGGCACCCGCCAGGGGTGATCCACCTGGTGATCCTCATCACCATGCTCTGAAGGTGCTTCAGAAGAGGAGGACCCTTCCCTCTGGCTGGACTCCGGCATTGCAGGAGTCAGGGAAGCCAGGAGCTGCTGCGGCCACGGTGGTGATTCCCTCCTCCGTGGCTCTCTTGCAGCTGATCCAGAAGGAGCTGGAGGACGAGGAGGAGGAGCGCAGCCCCAGCCAGGGCAGCCTGCGCTTCCGACACAAGCAGCCCGTGGAGCTGAAGGGTCCCGACGGCATCCACGTGGTGCACGGCAGCACGGGCACGCTGCTCGCCTCCGACCTCAACAGCCTGCCCGAGGATGACCAGAAGGTGCTGGGTCGCTCGCTGGAGACTCTGACCGCCGACTGCGGGGGCTACAGCGACCACAACGCCCGCACCGAGTCGGCCAAGTCCACCCCCCTGCACAAGATGCGGGAGGTGATCATGGAGAGCCCTCTGGAGATCACCGAGTTATGACGAGCGGTGCTGCCGCTGCTGCTGCTCCAGGCCAGCCGGGGCCGGCGGGGATGCAGCGCAGAGCCGGGGGCCGTGGCGGGGGCAGGGGCAGCCCGAGACCGGTGCTTGGCCCCTCTTCCCCTGCAGGAGTCCAGGCTGCCCGGTGCAGATCACTCCGGCAGCCTTGGAGAGCTTGGCCCCGGCAGAGGGCTCTCAGGACCGGAATGCTTTTACTCGCCTGTCATTTATCCATGAAACCATTAAATTTTTTTTATTTTTCTTATTAAAAAAATTAAAAAAAAAGGTTTTTTTTCTAAAAAAAAAAAAGGGGGGGAAAAGAAAAGCTGAATGAACCTGATGAGTCCAGACTGGACGGGGGGGGAAGGTGCAGTGAGGATGCGGATGATGTGCTGCCACAGTATCCCCAGGCACAGGCTGGGGACAAGCAGCTGTCACACCTCGATCACGAGCATGGGGAGGGCCAGGGAAGCGTGGGGAGAGACCGAATCCTTTTGGCATTAACGTCACCTTTCCACTAAGGAAAGACCCAAAAAATTAAAAAGAAAAAACCCAACCCAAAGACATTCCTCCATTTTGCTGGCTTTACCAAAACTTGTTGCAATGTCAAAAAAGAGAGAGACTAACTGGGGCTTCTGGATGTCAAGTGCTCGTGCGTGTCTTTTGTTGCCCTTTTCTTTCCCCTTCTCTCTTGCATTTGGGTTTGTTTGTCTGGGGATTTGTTTCCAGTCGTGACCTTGTGGAGAGTTTCGGGCACGGTCTGTTACGGGACTCAGAAATACAGTGTCTATGGTTTTGGGTAACCTGTCTGTCGTCCTTCCTGCCCGGATCCATCAGGCCCAAACCCCCTTTGGAAGAGAAGACCCTCTTTTAAGTCACCCCTCGAATCATCATCTTCACGAGATGCCACCCTGGGTGTTGCTGCACCTTGGATTTTGGAGGAAGCATTAAATGTTCTCCGGGTTTACCCACACTCCCATTGCAGCCCTCAGCACAAGGAGAAAGGACACAACCAGCCAGGCTCATGGGAAGAGTTTATTTGTGATGGGATGCTCCCATGCACACCCAGGATCAGGCACTGCAGGCATCCCCCCAATATGGCAGGGAGGGATGAGCCAACACCTCACTGCCCATGGCTCACCACCGCAGCTGGGTCACCACAGGACCCCAGCAGGGATGGGTGTGTGAAAGGAAATCCTGGCACCCAAACTCATTCATTTTATGTTCAGGTGAAGCTGCCGCCAGCCAGCAGTGGCAGGCCTGTGTCTGGGCAGCAGAACCCAGCCCAGCCCACGGGGACAGATCCATGTTGCAGGATCTGGGCCGTACGAGTGGTTCAAGGTGGGATGGAGAAGTACAGAAGGGATCGGGGATGGAGATAGAGGTGGGAATAGAGGTTGGGGATTTTGCAGTCACCCTGAGAGACGTCAAGGCTGAATCCCTAGTCCTGAAAATATTAACGAGTCCCTTAACCTGATTTGGAAGTCCAAGCCCCAGGAGTGGAAGAGGAAGCGGCCGAGGCCGCTGGGGTTCCCCGCAGCCCCGCCAGCGCGACGAGGCCGGTTGGCTCCTGCCATTGCTGTCTGTGAGTGCAGGCACGTCCCAAGGGAAGGCAGCCGGGATCCCAAACCAAACGGCAGAGCAAGTCCAGCCAGCTGGGGAGACGGCTCCTAGTTCCACACGTGGCGCCGGCAGTGTGCGACGGCCTGCGGGAGGGACGGGGACGGCGCTGGGGCGCAGGGACCGGCAGCACCCTGCTGGCCCCGGAGAGGGGACACGGCCGCACTTACATTGCACTCGGCCGCCGTGGCCATGTTCTTGCACCAGTACTGCGGGCCCCAGACACAGGGGGCCAAGCCCAGCAGATCCTCCTTGCCTGAGTCACAGGCCCTGATTTTCTGCATTGCAAGGGAAAAGGGTGGGAGGGAGAGGAAGAAATCCTCCATGAGGAACCTCTGATCGCCCCGGAGGATGCCCATCCTGGCCCGGGCCGCCTCGGGGATGAGGACACTTACAGTGCAGACAAAGGTGGGGTCCATCATCTGCACGAAGAGCCGCACGGCCGCCGGCTCGTACTGCAACACCAGCGCCTGGCACTGGGAGGGAGAGAGGGGTGAGCCCAGTGGGGACATCAGGGGTGGTTTTCTCGGGCTGGGTGTCCCCCTCAGCTCACCTTGCTGGTGAGCGGCATGGGCAGCATGGCACAGCCCTTCTCCAGCACCTCGCCCAGCTCCTCCAGCGTCTCGTTCTTCAGCAGCTCGTTGTCGACGTAGGTGATGACGATCTGGCAGACGTTGCAGAAGGCGCCCGCGCTCGCCGCCAGCTGCTGCAGGGATTCAGCCTCTGGAGGACACGGCCATCAGCACCCAGCGGAGGGGACACCCCACTCCCCGGGGCCGAGGTGCCAGCTCACCAGGCCGGGTGTCCCCGCTGCGGGGGCAGCAGTGCAGCATGGTGCAGACGGCCGCGGGGTCGGTGGCCTCCAGCAGCATGATCACCACGGCTTTGCCATAGGAGTTGACAAAGTCCTTGCACTGCCCGATGACGCCGTGGGGCAGCATGTAACACACCTTCTCGATGTCGTTCACCAGCTGCTCCTGCCAGCACAAGGCAGAACAGGGAAACCCCGGCTCCTTGCTGCCCCTTGGCCCTCTGTGCCAGCCCCCCAGCAGCAGACCACAGCAGTGGGGCTCACCTCTGTCACGTTGTTCTCCAGGAGGCTCTCGACTGTCTTCACGGTGAACTGGCACACGTCACACAGTGGAGTGCTTCCCACCCTGTCCTGTCGGGACAAGGGGGTCATATGCATGCCAAGCCCCCACAGAGCCACCTCATCCTGTTCCACCATCATCCCCCACGTAAGGCATTCCCCACCTCAGATAAACAGAGGTGCTTGAGGAAATAAAACACAAAATAAGGCTCCCCCTTTACAATGCTTGGATTTTCAGGAGCACAGCAGAACTGAGGGGGTCCCCACTTACCCCCAGCATGCTCAGGACCTGCATCACCCTCTCTGTGAGCAGCGTGTGGAGGGGCAGTGCCGAGTGGGAGGCACAGAGTCCCAGCTGGCCACACAGCTCCGTTGGGTCCTGGGGAGAGAGACGTACCAAGTCAGGCGGGCTTTGGCGCCAGGGAAAGGAATTTCAGCACATCAGGGCATGCATCTCACTTACCTCAGCCTGCTACCGGTGGAGGGGCCAGAAAATGGCAAGAAAAAATGAAAACAAAGTGTAATTGCAGCAGTTGCAAGGCAGAGAGGAGGGGGAAACAAATTAATATTTTGTAGGAATATTAGGCAGTGAGTTTAACAAAAAAAAAGGGATCATTTGCCAATGAGGCACCTTGGCTGTGCTGCTCAGGCCCCCAGCTGTCACCCAGTGACCTCAGGGAGCCCTCAGCCTCTTACCAGATAATGCAGCAGCTGGGCAGCCGTGTCCGTGTACTCGGCCAGGGAGCGCTTGCACTGCGGGAGGGAGACACGGAGTCAGGGCCCGATCTGGCCACCCCACCCCAGGCAGGCATCTGCAGAGATGCTCCCATCCAGGAGGAGGCAGCCCATCCCTGGAAGTGTCCAAGGCCGGGTAGGACAGGGCTTGGAGCAGCTGGGATAGTGGAAGGGGTTCCTGCCCATGGTGGAGTGAGATTGTCCTTAAGGTCCCTTCCAGCCCAAACCCTTGTGTGATTCCCTGCTGGCCCCTCACCCGCTGTGCCAGGTCGGGTGTCAGGGTCTCGCAGACCCGCTTGGCGTGGCCCACCAGTGCCCAGGTGAAAGCAGCGTTGGTCCCCAGCGCCTGCTGCACGGCCGTCGCCAGCTGCAGGCAGTCCCCACACACCTCTTCCATCTCCTGCAGGATAACAAGGCAGAGACACATTGGTACCCCATCAAATAAAACCAATCCCCCCACCCCTAACCTGCATTTGCAGGGCTGGGATTTAAACACTGGCTGCAATTTGGGGCAGCACTCCAACCAGCATCTCTCATTTCCCTCCTGCATCCTGAAATATCCCCCCAAATTGATCACACAGCCAGAAGTCATTGCAGCTCTGCAGAAATTTTAGGGGCTTTCTCTAATTATTGTTAAGTAGGTGACACTTTTAAGGGGATTCTCACCCCTGAGCAGCATTAGGACACTGGCACAGATTGTCCAGAGAAGCTGTGGCTGCACCATTCCTGGAAGTGTCCAAGGCCAGCTTGGATGAGGCTTGGAGCAACCCGGACACGTTCTCTGTCCGTGGCAGGGGTTTGGAATGAGATGTTCTGTAAGATCCCTTCTGACCCAAACCATTCCATGGTTCCATGACCAGCACCATCCTTGCATGTGCCACGGTACCTGGGCTTCACCGTGAGGCAGATCCTGGGGATGGAGCAGGAGGGGCACGTTGGCCATGAAGGGGGCGATGAGGTCATCAAAGTCCTGGGTGGGGCCTGTGGCAGCTGGTGGTGGCTGCTGATTCCTCAGTGTCCCCGTGGGTCTGTCTCGGCGCAGGCACAACTTGATGGTCCCACACACCACCTTTGGGTCCGACTGCGGGAGCAGAGGGGTGGGGTGGGGGCTCCTCCATCACACCAACTCCCCTGCCCCCACCCTAGGTCATTTCCCTCTCCATCTTGTCCTTCAGATGGTTTGTCCCAGGCTCCAGGAGCATCCTTTGCTCTGCAAGCCCCCAAGAAATCCCAAACTATGGAAAAACCCAAACCCGGGGCTCCCCCTGCATTACCAGCACTTGCTTGCCCAGCTGGACAAGGACGAGGATGCCGGTGTCCACCATCCTCTTGCACTTGACAGACCAGTCCTGGAAGGGCAGGTACTGGCATCTCTTATCCAAGAATAGCCGCAGCTTCTCCTGCATGACAGAGAGAGAGTTCAGGGCCTCAGTGGGGTTGGTGGGGAGGAACACCAGCCCCACTCCCCCGTCCCACTGAGACCCACCTCGGTGCGGTTGTCCTGCAGGATCTTGCCCACCAGGGAGACTGCCACCTGGCACAGGTGACAGGGGATCCCCTTCTGCTGAGAGAGAGGGGACACGTCGGGATGCTGTCATGGCACCCAGACCCTCCCCAGATCCCAATCCTCCACCCCAAAAACATCCCACGTGAACGCCCTGTGGCACCCATTGACTTTTGCCATTTGCTCCGCAGACCGCTGCTGCCAGATGCGGGGTGCTGGGGTGGGCAGGCCGGGATCCTGCCGCCATCTCCGTGTTCTGGGCCAGATGGGCACCCCTCCCGCAGCCCCCCGCATTCCCTGCTCCCAGCACGGTTACCCCCAGCGCCCGGTCCCACTGGAGCCGGCAGAGCTCCAGTGCCCCGCACTTGGCCGCGGTCGCCACGTCGCGGCACCAGTCCTCCGGCCGCTCGCCGCACTCGTGGAGGGGGCTGGCCCCGGCTGTGGGAGGGAAGAGGAGACTGTCAGCCCTCAAGGTACCCCAAGGCATCAAACCAGCCTCCCTGTGTGCACCGCAGTGAGCTAGGAGTGATGCTCCTCGCCCTCCTGCTGCGATTCCACCTCAATCCCAAAGTCGTGGAGGGGGTGTTTAAATTATATATGATTTTTTAAGGTCGGTTTGGCCAGGCTGCCAGCTTTTCCAATGGGATGTCATAGGGTCATAAGCAAAGGGAATTTGGGGCTCATCCTCAGCCTCCCAGCACCCTCTGACACGCTACTTATAAGGCAGCTGCTTGTAAAAGCAGCAGTAAATCTTGCAAAATGGGCAAACCCGGGGCTCCAGATAATCACGCCACGGCTCTCGGCAACGATTGAGCAACCCCACTTTTGGTGGGGTTCTTTTGGTTTTATTTCCTCCCCACGACAGCATTTTCTCCTGGCTGTAAATCCCCGGCACGGCAGCGGCGGCATGGCCCGCCCCGCAGCGCGGTGCCGTGGCGCAAGAGCAGCGCTTTAATTGTCACCTTGGTGTGTCAGGACTCATTTCTGATGGGGCGAGTGTCGCCACCGGGAACTGTGCCCACCCAGGATGCGGCTGGGGAGGAGGCGGCGAGAAGGCACAACCCAAGCCCTTCACCGCCTTGCTCGGGCCGGGAGCTGCTCCGGGAATTTGGGAGCAGCAGGCGGGCAAAGGGACAAACAGACCCTGCTGCAGACCTTTAAGCAAGAGGCGCTTCTAAGCAAAGCACAACCCTCCCCGCTCCAAGCGTTTACATCCAGCTTTTATCCCCCAGCCCTGTCTATGATTTTGCAGGGCAGGAATAAAGCCAAAAGCAGAAACTGCTCCTTCCACGCGGCCCTGCCCTTATCGGGTTTCTCCCCAAAAGCCGCTTTCCCCGCGTGCTGCATTTTGTCAACGCCTCCAGTTCATCCGTGAGACTTCAGCGTGAGGTACCCAGGGCCACCCTGGAAATTCCCGGGGGCTGAGGGTGTGGGGAGAGGGGTCCCAAGCCCCCCACACCACTCCCGCCTGCCCCGGGAGCGCTGCCGGGTGCCGGCTGGTGTTTCAGCCCCGATTTCCCCATCGGGCTGACAGCAGCACTGGGCAGGCGGCCCCGGGGCAGGGCGAGTCCCCCCGGCTTCCCACACACCTTCCCGGCTGCGCCGTGCCGCGCTCGCCGCACCAGCTCAGAGGGATATATTTATGTTTTCAACCCCGGCCCCAGCATCAGGGCAAACAGGAATGGCAAGTCAGCGGAGGCATTAAGGGGCAGCACCAAAACCAAGGAGGCGGGAGACAACAACCCCACGGCTTTTTTCTGAGCTGGTCCCGCAGCATCTCTCACGGAGCTGTGTTGGAGCCCGGACCCCATGGTGAGGTCGGGAGGATCTAAAAGACACGGGTGATTTGGCCCCACGCTTTTCTGGCTCGTAGAGATCCTCAGCTCAGCCCTTACTCTTCACCCCGCTCAAGCTGAAAGTCAGGCAGCAAGTTCTGGGACAGAAAGTAATTAGGACTAATGTAACACCCAGCAGCTGAGGGCAGGGGGAGCTTCCCCAGGTGGAAACCACTGCCACGGGGCAAGCAACTGGGGCAACTGGTGTCCCGTCAGCTCTCCTACACGTCCCAAAGCCGTGCTGGAGCCACCTCATGCTGCCAGGCACACAGGCAGCAGGGTTATTAAATGATGCCATTTTTGGCAAAGGAGCAAAGCAGGGGTGCTCCGGTGCCACTCCGGTTCCAGGCCAGCCACAACTGCCCTATTCCAGTCTGCCAGGCCCGGGGGATGGGGTGGGCTTCGTTCAGGGGGTATCCAGCAGGGAGCTCCAGCTCTGGCAGGGCTGTGCTGGCATTCCACGGAGCCTCGGAGCGCCCCGGCCGAGCCGGCCGAGCCTGGCGAGCCAGTTGTGATGTAAACCCCGGGGGTGGCAGCGTGGGCCCCAGCGCCCCAATTCCCGGCCTGGCGCATGCCCCTGTTACAGCAAGAACCATAAATACACTTTTCCCAGCTCCCAAACCCCTCTCTCCAAAGCTCACAGGGTGCCCGGGGCCGCAGCAGCCCCACGCCGTGCGGCCAAGCCCCTCCGGCTCAGGGGGCAGGCGGCACCGCCGGGCCGGACGTGCCGAGCACGGGTGAACTTTCCTGCTCTGCCTGTTGCTGGCTGGAACACCCAGACACGTCCTCCCCAGGCTGGGTCATGCATGTGCACCCACAACACCTGGGCACATCATAACATGGGAGCCCAGTGGGCCAAGCCTGGGATAACTGGGGTGCAAGGGGGCTCCTGACTCTAAAACATGGGGGGTTGTTTGCAACAGCAAGGCTTCTCTTATTCCAGGGGAAATTTCCCCAGGAAGCAGCGATCTGCCCTCAAGCAAGAAGCAGGGGTTGGAAGCAGGCCTTTCCCAGCTTGTTTCCTGGGGATGGGCAGGGGATGGATGACTAAGGAACAGCAGCAGAGATTCACCGGCAGGAGGATTCACTCGCAGATACACAAGTGCCAATGCTGAGAGGGCTCCTGAGGTGAGTAGAGAACATCACCCCATCACCCACAGCAGAGCCAACTTCCTGCCTCCTGCATCTCCTATGAGGAAAAGGGCAGCTGCATGGTCACTCTGTATGACAACCAAGTGGCTTCCCCCAGCTCACACATCAGCAGCCAGGCCCCAAAACCAAGGGCAGGAGAGAGAGAGCAGCTCCTCTTCCCCACTACAGACACTATCATGACTTCCCCTCCTTCCATGCCCCAGCACACCACCAGCTGTGCCTGAATCCCAGAGAAGGGACGGAACAAACAAAACCCTTTTACTCCGAGATCACCTTTAAAGGCAAAAGTTCCAACTCTCACCTCCAGGTGGGTAACACAGACAGCAGTGCCACCTTCCCCAGCTCTGCCCAACTCCAACACCAGAGGAAGCACCTTATGGAGCTTAGACACCAAAGCTGGGAATAGTTTTGGGTTTCAACAGGGTTTTCTGAGCTATCCACATCCTACCTACCTCCAGGCCTGGCCTTACCTTGGTAGGAGCCCAGGCACACAGAAATGATCAGCACCAAGCCACTCCATTTGCTCTCCATGCCGTTCCTAAGAGTCCTCAGTGGCTGGTTGCTCTCCTGCGCTGCTCCCAGACTGAGGAATCTTGGATGGGCTGGGAGAAGCAGTGAGAATCCACACCTACGCAGGGCAATTACCACACCCCTCACTTTATGCCTTGATTAGAAAATCATCACTGGGAAGGGAGGGACCAGAGGCAGGCAGGCACTCCCAGGAGGGCAGAAGCAGCCCAGAACCTGCTGCTCAATGCTTGGCTGCACAGGGTGGGCACGGACAGGGAAAGGTGTCCTGGAGCCACGTGACAGCACCACGTTCTCTGCCTTTGAATGACATTTTTATATTTTATTTGGAAGCCAGCAGGGAATGAGGACACACAGGAAGCCACATTAAGCACGAGTCAGCAGGGAAGGCTGGTATCAAGTCCCTCTGGCCTGCGCAAGGCAGCAATTGCAACACAACTGTTGCCTCACACCAGGCGTTGTGTTTGTCCAGGGAAGAGAGAGGCAGCAATCCCAGGCAAGCCTCTTCCACCTGCAACCCTGCTCAGCAGAACAAAGGCTTGATGGGACACGTAGCGTAATGGGAACCTGAATCCATTCAGTCCCAGATTCTCAGTGCCACCCTGGGATGTGCCTTCTCCTGGCCCTGCAGCCAAGGGGAACCTTAACAAGAACCTTTGCCGTGGAGAAAAATTAAACACAAACTTATCGGTTTACAGAAGTTTTTATTGTTCATTAAGGAAGCTTTTGTGCAAAAAAAACCAAAAAAAAAAAAAAAGAAAAAAAGAAAAAAAAATCAAGACAATGTTCTTTAGAAAGCAACTGCACAGTGTCCCCCCAGCATGACTCAAGCAGGTCAGGTGCCACGGTCCACAGGAAGGGAGAAAACTAAAGGGACTCCCAGCAGCAGCACAGGACTTCCCCTGGTTCACCTTGCCCAGCATGAATCCTTCTAAAAACCCCAGGAAAATAAAACCTTCCTAACCTGCCAATGCAGCCCCACCTCCCCCCAAGAAAGATCCACACCATCCAGTTTAAAACACCAAGTGCCACCCTTATTCTGATGTGTCATACAACTCGTCCCTTCAGGGCAGCGCTGCCGGGGACAGAGCCCATCTCCTATCTGCTCCATCTGCCCCAGCTGGGATACACCACCAGAACCACTACACAAGTCTGCCAGGACAGAAAGCTGCAGGCATTTTATGTCTTTAGGGGAAATTTTCCATTTTTTTTTTTTCCTCTTAACACCATGAGAGCTTCAGCAGTCAGGAAACAGAGGAGTACAACCTCTGTTGCCATTTGTCAGCATTGCCCAGGCTTTTAGTATGCACACAAATCAACTAAAAACCTGAAGTCCAGTGGTTTTCCAATTAAAAATACTCTACTTCCTGCTACAGCATTGTTACTGGAGCTCCTGCACGCCCCACACACGACAGGAGCAGCAGGAGTTACCAGCATCCTTCTGCACAGGACTGGAATTTTCAAAGCTCCACATCTGCCCAGCTGCTCCTTCCCAAAGGTCTCCTCAGAGCTCCTTCAGTGCCTCTGACTTTGGGAATTAACTTGATCAGAAGTGCACACCCAATGCAAGGCCCATCCCAAGCAACACAAGCAGGATTCTCATGCCCCAGGACCCTTCACATCAAGGGCCTGCCATGTTCCCAGGATAGCAAGCCTGCCTTGAAGGCCTTTTTGGGGGGGATTTTAGGTCATTTAAGTGGAAAGGCAGGCTGTCAAGCGTGCCAGTAGAGCTTTAAATAGCTACTTTAGTGCTCCTACCACCTGCCACCTCTGCTTGCTGCATTTCCCAACAGAAATGGGAACTCTGGGTAACAATTCATACCTCCAGTTACTCACAAGGGTGTTAGTGAGAGGGTGGGCAGCAGTGGGAGGTGCCCCCAGACCTCACAGCACCTCTCAGGTTCTAGACTGAAATATGCTGTGAGAGAAAAAGCAGAATCAAGGAACAAACAGGTTACAATAAAACCCATTTTTTCCACAGATTCCACCCTCAGTGCTGAGCTCCCTCTGACATATTCCCAGCTCCTGCTGACACGATCCTCCTCCATCATCCAGTGACAGCTCATGCCACCTCCTCAGCACCCAGCTGGCTGCTTGTGGGAAGCTGCAAGACCAAGCAGAAATGAGCAACTAGGATAAGAAAAAAGGGAGTCATTGCTCAGGTACACCAGCATGCTTCAGGAAACTGACATCCCACTGGACTGGGCTTGGCAGCAGAACACCTGTGCAGTCCAAGGAAATCAGAAAGATGTGATCAAAGGCTGAGGGAGGGTTTTTCTTAGCTATAACAACACCATGAGCAACAAGTGTGGTCACTCAAATGCAAAAGGCTGATCATTCAAATGCATCTTTTTAACTACCAGTGATTTTGAAAGCTAGCTGGGCACACAAAGCCCCCTCCCTCTGCATCTGCAGAGCTTTGAAAATTCCAGCCAAAAGGATTCCCAGATTCGACATTATCCCTTAGAGTTCCCAGACACAGAAAATAAACATTCCAGCCAGATGTTAAAAATGCAAAGCATGTAAAATCTTCCCAATGCTGCCTACAGAAAGACATTTGAAAGTTTAGTTGCTATCTTGCTCTTTTTTTTTAATTAAAAGATAAGAGCCATGTCTCATTTCACCATCTCTGTCATTCCTCCCAGAACAAAAACACTTCAGCCCTACCAATTAAAAAAAAATCTACAACACACTGACTATTTTTAGGAGCATAATGGGTTAAACTGTACAATCAGAAATATCTTTAAGTCAACAATGAAAATCTGATCCTTCAACAGCAGCACTGCTACAGAAGAGTTACAACAAAGGAACTTGAAGGTCAAATTGTTAATGAGGCAGAGAGGAGGGACAGGTGAGATACAGCTCTCCGCCAACCTCGGCCCACATTTCCTAAGAGCCATGGCAAACTTTCAGAACAGGAAATTCTTCTTCTAGTTCCACACATGACGTTTGCAGTGATCAACAGCCTAAAGGGGAAGAAATAGCTGATATTAGTGGAAAAAAGCCAGTTTGCAAACAAGCAGCTCAACACCTTATCCTGAGCCAAGATCTTGGGAGCAAATTTGTTTTCCTTACAGTAAGTGATTTCAGAGAGGACTAGAATAAATAACATTTTGAGCCACATCAGCCAGGAGCTCTAGGAAAGAAGGCTGATGACCCTTAACCACTAAGGCCTGGCAGAAAAAGCAATACTGGAAGCCAATTTTTAGAACCTGCTGAGAGATTGTGACATGGTCTGGTGGCTGCAGGAGCACTGACTAAATATAAAGCTGACACTCTACCTTACTATACATTCTGAAATACTGGCACACAGGTGTGGGTCACAAAAAGGAGAGGAAAGTCAGCTTTGAGAAAGCTAAGAGCTGTGAAACACTCTCTAATCAAACTAGTACCCTTTTGCTTATTTAGAACTGGAGTTCATCCACTTTGAAGTGCAGTAAAAGCCAAAAATAGCTCAGAAGGAGCTGCCAAAGGTCAGCAGGAAAGCGGAGGCAGAAGGCTGTTTTACATACGTTGCACTGAGCAGCAGTGTCCATGTTCTTACACCAGTAGCCTGGACCCCAGACACAGGCATCATTCCCCAGGAGAGGCTCTTTAGCCGACTCACAGACTCCGAGTTTCTGGGAAAAGAGCAGCAGCAGAGTCAGCACCTTCCTAACTGCACCAAGAGAGCTCAAGCCCAGCCTTGTGTCTGAGCTCCCACCTGAGGGAGTGTGGAAGCTGCACTGAGGCAGCTGCAGGAGCTCACGCTGAGGTCACACCTGCAGCTGAACCAGCAGCCACATAACCTGAGCCAGGGCAGAGTTAAGTTACTGGAACTCCTTCATATCAAGTCATGAAAAACAATCTTCTAGAGAGGGACTTTTCTCAAGAAATGTCACTTTCCCTCCCACCACATCGAGGGCTGTCACTGAACCCCTGGCAGTTCTCTGCTGCTGCCCTGCCTTGTACTGGGCTGGCAGTCAGACATCTGTCCATTCAGGATGCCCCAGGCCTTGCACAAGGGGCTTGCTCCAAGCATTCAGTGTGCTGATTTTGATTCCAGCAGAGTTTCTGCATGCTGGGCACTGAAAGGCACCCAGGACAGTAGGCACGACTGTATCAGAGCCTGCCCTCAATAAAAGCAATGCAATACTCACAGTGCAAACAAAAGTGGGATCCATCACCTCTGCCAAGAGTTGCACAACCACGGGCTCATATTGTTCCACAAACTGCACACACTGTAACAAAACACAGAGTGAGAGATTCTCCTGCTGGAGCCTCTGAAAGCAGAGGAATGTGTGGTCTGCAGCAGGCAGGCCTGTATGCTACCCCAAACACCCCAACAACACACTCCACAAGGACAAAGCAGAGACTTCAGCTCTGCACATGGCAAAGGAGTCAGGCACTAATCACACAACTACATTGTTGTTTCTGCTCATACCTGCCTGCAGACACACTACGAGGAGATAAGGGGTCACAAGGAAAAGAACCAAACAGGACAGGTTTGGGAAAAGAACTAAGCAGAAGAAGCTTTGACAGCAAAGCTTCATCTCTGATCGTGGAGATCACGCCTGTCTCAAGAGGAAAGCACACAGAACCAGCTGGAGACAAACTTCCTGAGCAGGACAGCAGCAAGGACTCCCAGGCACTTGTACTCAAGTTATTCCTTCAGACAAGGCAGCAGCAGGAGCACTTCCTGCCAGAACAGCCTCTCTCCCTCTAGTGGAGAGGCTGGCTCCAGAGCTGAGGAAGATGCTGCTGCTCTCAGCAGAGACAAACAGCACCAATTAATAAACCAACCACAGCTATTAAACAGCCTCCCAGCAGGAAGAGCTGTTCCACAGCTGCTTTAAGCTCCTATATTCTATCCCCAGTAAACTTACAAGTAGCTGCCACTTGCTGACACTCAGCAGCCACCTAATAAGATTGTCAGGTAAATCTTGATATCAGTGGTCTAACAGGTGTCCCACAGGCTGGAATTACACCAGCCTACTTTCAATTACTTCATTAATCCCCTGAAC